ATGGCACTACAAACAAGAATTCTTCTGTTACAAAACAGTATATGCTAAGCTTTTAATTACTTCCAATCTTTCATAAATTGAAGAACATGAGTGCTGACTTAAATAAGTCATTTAACAAGTTACTTGATCAAATGTGTAGTAACAATTCAAAATTGGAGAATGTGGTATATTATACAAGCTAATTCTAATGTATAGTTAATTTGTACTTCGCTAATTCTTAGCTTGTATATTCATGTTTTTAATATAACTCTTGAACTTTGATTACAATTTACATCACCCATATGTGTGACCTGAGCTACTGATCTGAGACCATAGATTGGTATGATTGGGATTATAAATAAAGATATCTAGAGGGTTAGAAAATGATGCTATACAATATTTGCTATCATTAGTGTATATTCAGAAGAAATTGCAGTGTGTTCGCTGCTGATGCATTGAGATAAATACTACTGCATATATAGTACATGACTAAATTTATTATTTTATTGCATATTGCAGATGAATTAAATAGCCTTTATCATTACATCACTGGTAACTGAAATATTATCTGGCAAGTAGGTTTACCACCTGTTTGTTATTTCAGAGAAGGATTACTTATTTAGTACTAAAGGTTAGTTTTTTTAAATAAGAATCAATTTTCCTAAATAAGGAACAAATGGTAAGCCTGTGATTAAGCACCAAGCAAAACCTCAACAGCATGTGGAGACAGGTTCTTTTGCAAACTGCCTAAGGCACACGATGATATTAAAATCTTAAAGTTTGTTGCTAGCATCCACAAGATCCCCCTTGGTTCTGAAGGCGGTGATACAGTGCTGCTTCCAAAGGCATGCATGGAATCCAGTGATACAATTGACTCATACAATGAGAATTCTCCTCACCTCTCCTCATCACTTCCCACACCTTCAAAATCTACTATGAAGCTGGAACAGATTTTTGATACATATGGGAGGGGAACTTTCTGGGGAGAACAAATGGTTCTTTTACCCATGGGAATACATAATTGGATTCAGTTCTTTTTTTCTCCAAAATTCAACCCTGTTCTGAAAAACTTTTGCATGAGAACATATTTACCGATTATGGCATAGTCTCTCTGCTGGCCATTAGAACCTACCTTACTTTCTGTATTAATGGTAAAGACAGTGCCTCTTTGGTTTAGAAGTTTGCAAGAATAAGCAATGTTGATAGCTGTTTCCTGCTTATCTCCAGTTAATACCCAGGTTTGGATTCCAGCTTCTTTGAAGGCAGAAATGGTATCAGGCACTCCTTCTTGCAACCGGTCTTCAATCCCTGTTGCTCCTTATGAAAAGGAAATAATCAGTGTTATTGATTGCTGCCACAGGGAAGGCACATCTCTGGGGTCTAGATAAATGGCATTATTTAATCGATGGAAACTGGAGTACGCCTACCCTGCCAGGCAGATATGAGGGGAGATAGGGGGGTCTCTCAAGTAACCAGGCTCTATGTCATTAATTAGGAATAATTTTAGGAAACAATTGCTATGTGATAAAGCAACCCGTATGCCAAGTTTACAATAATTGCTTTGCAAAACAGTTGTGATCAAGAGATTCTTCTCTAGGACTTTAGAACATAAACCATCTGTTTTAATTCCTACAACTGGCTTATGAAAAATGGTTTGTACGCCAAGAGTCTGTTCTGTATGCACTGTGGGGTTAGGATGCATTCATTATATACATATCACTTGCACCACTGCTGGAGCAATGAGGCATAGGATTGCACAAGAACATTTTTTTTAGCCTTTCATTATCTTCTGGATGATGAGCTGTATCCTTAAAAAGAATAAAAGAGAAACTAATGGAAAACTGACCAGTTTAACTGGAAACCATTTACTAAACAGATTATCTATTGTTTCAACACAAAAATTAGAAAATAATATTCCCTGGCTTGAGATGTTCCACAATTAAAATAACTTGACTAAATGAACATAGAAAATAATTACTGAAAGAGTAATAACATCTTTCCTACGGGGATCAATATAATGTTATTGGAAATTTTAAGTATTATATATTGAATACAAACTATTGCATAAAACCTGGATAGCTAAGCTGACAGCTAAGGTTTATAGAATTCCTGGATTGGTGCAAAGAGGCCTTCATAGGACACAAGCATAGAATACAATGAAGCAAAATGGTCTATATCAGTGCTCAGAAGATATGAACATGCAGTATAAGACATATGTGCTGTAGTGCAGGGGTCCCCAATCCCCGGTCCGTGGACCAGTACTGGGCCGTGGCATGCCAGCAACTGGGCCACACAAACAAGCAAAGCCCCATCCGCGAGATGCAGGTACCACACAAAACCACGCACTCTCTGGTCCACAGAAAAACCTTTCTCCACGGAACCGGTCCCTGCTGCCCAAAAGGTTGGGGACCTCTGCTGTAGTCTACACCTGAATGATGTCCTTTTATGCTTTGGATTTCTGAGGTGCAACTGGCAGATAGATTGGCTACCCTTGACTCAGAACAAGATAACATTAATTTTAAATCTGTATTGAGATACTGATTTACATTCCCATAGATAGGATGATAAAATGATTGCAAAGTCTATTTCATGTGTGATCCAACTATATGACTATATTAATATTGGCGATTATACATTGCAAATGCATAGTATGGATATGTGCACATATGCACATATGGTGAAGCAAGACTGGAAACACTGGAGAGAAACTAGACCTTAGGCTCCCCATTCAGGTAAGTTAATTTATATTAATTTCTATGGAATCCTTTAAAATGTGTTTTTGTATAAATAAATAAAAGAGACTATGAATTCTAGTCTGACTTTAGGACGAAGCCAGATGTGTGACCTTGGGCCAGTCCCTTTTTCTCAGTCCTAGGAAGGAGGCAATGGCAATTCTAGTTCAGGCAGTTGAGAGAGAGTGAGAGTGAGAGTGAGAATGAGAGTGAGAGAGAGTGAGAGTGAGTGAGTGAGTGAGAGAGAGAGAATCATAAATCTATGGCAAACTTGCAGTTATGCATATCTGTACAATATCTGTATCTGTTTCTGATACATGTTATTAAATAGTTTGTAAATGTATCATAGACAGCAATGGTAATAATCCTTTCTTTACAAATGACATAGGTAAGAACTGTTTTAAATAATGACTCATTTCCAAGTAATTTTAGCGCCAGATATAAGTAATTCATTAGTAATCACGAATTAATCTAGAATGAATTAATAGTTCAAGATACCTAATAAGGTGAGTTTACTTTCCAGATGTTGTACTGCTTCCATTAAAAGTTCATCTCTGTTTTCCATAGCTATTTCTGCCTCATGATGAAAGTTGAGCCATTTTTGAAATTCCTCTTCACTTAAAACCTGTCATGGTGTAAAGTCAACATGTAAGTGAAAATATTAAATGCCTGCCAATTAGGCTGGTGGAGGTCAACATCACTAATTTGATTCAGTCATTAGAACATTTGCTGTTACCAACTGCAATTCTAATATATCATCACTAACTATGATGGGTTATGAATATTAAGGTAGTTTTACTTCACAATTACAAATAGAGTCAGATGTTAATAGTATTTTGACAAATGAGCACAAAGTATGCAGCATTACAAACACACAGCCTGAAGCAATAGATTTGATGAAGTATTATGCTTAAAATTGAGTTAATTTTCAAGCAAAGATAGTTATGTTTTATTTTACTAAGAATTCTGGGAAGACAGGGAAATTCTAGTGAAGGAAAATAAAGCATTTTCAGTAGAAGAAACTGTGGTTTAAGAAATGAGTTAAAGTTTGCAAATGCCAGTATCTGAGATGACAGAGAAGAATTTTAACTTTTATTTTGCCCACAGAGGCATTTATATGAGATGATATCCAAAGATTTCCAGTGGATAAAACATAGATGAGGTCCTGTACTTTGAATCATGATCAAAGTAAGCCTAAGAACGTGCTGCCTGAAATGGATGCCCTTGCAAAGTCCATGAACAAAAGACTATTTCAGCACTGATAATGCATCCTCCAATGAGTCTGGATGCATGCAACTTAGGAGATATGGTAAATGTTCTTCAAAATTATTGTTGCTCACCACTCACATAATATCACCTGAGGTTTCACCCTGTTTAATAACAAAGTCAGTCCTAAGGTGCAGGAGCTCTGCCTTTTGGCATTTATTACACAGCAATGAGATTGTATCGACTGAGCAAGAAAACCATAAATTGTACAACTGGAATAATAATAAAAAAGCCTCACATCTTAATTACATTAATGCAAACCAAGTGTTATAGTTTCAGAAGACTCTTATTGACAGAGTTTGGTATCACTTTGGCAGATGATAAGCACCAAGAACCAGACAGTGGAAAAGTCTGTTTTGTTTTGCTGGAATGTAGTATGATTTGATACTAGTGATACTAATATTACAGCATTTAATATTAATTATTAAGATGTTCTTCCAAAGACTCTCTCAAGGATAGGATGGGCGTTGGAGACACTGGTGTCTCCAGTGGTGACTATCTACAACAGGGGTGTCAAACTGCCGGCCCACGGGCCAGATGCATCATGCTGAAGCCACGCCCACCCCATTGCTGACAATGGAAAAAAAGTTGCGATACATCACAACACGTCATGTGATGTTGCGGGTTTGACACCCCTGATCTAGAAGACGTTAACAGAAGGTGATAATGGTTTTCCTCAGAATTTCATTTTCTCCACCACTCTATTTAAAATACTCCTAACATTTCTGAGAGGCTTGTTCACATTCTTGACATCTGATGCTGCCAAATCCTTATGAGATGTAATTCTGTATGTCTTTTCCACCTAAATCCAACGGCTATTTAATGATTATTACTGTCAATAAAGGATTACATGAGGAGACAACAAAAAGAAGCTTAATCCAAATAAGTTGGAAATGTTCATGTCTAAGACAGATTGGGGATCAGGGATTCCATCTGTGTTGGAAGGAACTGTGATTTCTTTTACTCACTATTTGGCAGTGAGTTCACATTTGCACAGCTACAGATAGTGTGCCAGCTGCAGCTATTCCTGGAGATGTTAGATGATGATACATGTCTTCATTATATCATATAACACAATCACAATGAACTAATCTTTGAAAATGATTCAGAAACTTTGATTGGCATAAAATGCTGCAGGCGGACAGTTGACCTTCAGTTTTAGAGGGCACATCTCCCTTACTGCAAGAGCATTATTGATTTCCAAGCTGTTTCTGGCCACAGTTCAAAGTGCTAGTTATCCCCTAGAAAGCTTTCCACAATTTGGGATCAGGCTGTTTGAAAGAAAAAAAAAACCCTCTCCCATATGCCCTTACTCAGGATTTAAGATCCTCTGGAGAAGTTCTTTTTCTGTTCTGTTATTATCAGAGGGAGGAATGCAAGAGATCTCTCTTCTAAAAATTCTGGCACAACGAGCTTTGTGCCTTCTTTAACATCCCTCCACTGTCAGACTAAAATAGTTTTATTAATATAGATGTTTGATTTTTCAGCTGCTCTACGAGCAAAGTGCTGCATGTTTGTCCTTTTGGAAAAACATTTTTTTTACATTGTTTTGCATTCCACCTTGTGCATACTGTAAAGAGGCAAGATGGATTTGGAATTAAAGGCAGACCATTTCTGCCAATAAGCTGCTGCATGTCTTCAGGTCATGATGATGGGTTTTCTGCTGTTTCTTTCTCCTATCAGGTAAGGGTTCCAAAATGAAAGTATTTTTCCCCCTAATATTTCAAGCTAACACTCAGTGCTACTGAGAACAATAACTTCCAAATATATTTCCAGTTTTTCTGATCATCAACCAAAGGTAATTCACATATCATTTATTCTGGAGCTGTCCAAAAATGTTTATGCAGGCTTTGATGCTTCCTCTGAAATAAAGCAGGAAAAACACTGTAGGTTGTAATTTACACTACCGGTATGATTAATCAGCCTATCCGGAATACTAAATGTTTCAAGAAATCACAGAGAAGCTCTATTTGATTGCAAATGTTTCTGATATCCAAAAGTTAGTAATAATGAGGATAGCAACAGGAAGAACAGATGTCAAAAGATTGGATTAGAGTATTGCTCTCCTTCAGCTTCATTTTAAAATGATTCATATGAGGGGGCAGTAAGAGCAGTAGAAAATTAATCTAAGTAAAAAAACATTTTGCCATTGGGGAACTGGTTCAAAGGGTCAAAACAAGCCATTTACTGAAGTAGTTATCATTATTATTGCTATTATTACCATTTTTTTTAAAAAAAGAATTACCTTCTTTGCTATGCATAGAGTTCTCAGACCGTCACGTGCATACCAATCTAAATGTTTTTGTGTTTGTGTTCTCACTCTTCTTATCCTTTTTTCCATGGCTGCACTAGCTGTGAAACACAAAGGAAATCTGCTGATTCTCATCACACATTTATGAAATACTTAAATACCTTTCTGAAGCATAAAACTAAGACATTTTTCTGAGGGCATTTCTCTCTCTTTCCTGTCAAGACATAAACATCACCCACACGTGAGGCTCAATTCTACTTTATACATGCACAGAAGCAACTTGCTCCTTATTAATTACATCTAACCTGGCAACTGACAGCTTTTAAGATGCTGCAGAACTTTTAGCATTTTTCATCATTGGGCATTTTAGCTAGGGTTGCTGAAGTGGTAGCTGCAAAGCTCTGCAGGTCATGGGGTTCCTTACCCCTGCCCTAGAATGTGATTACTATTATTAAGAGCTTACTGTTAATTACCAGTTTGTCTATTAGAGAATCACTATGCTCGTTTCTTACCATTTTAATACAGTGCTCATAAAAACAAATTAATGTAGGCTTTCTGCAAATCTTAATTAGTCTGTTCAATATCCTTTCTAATTGTATAAATCAACATCCTTGCTCTCATTTTCACTACAGTTTCTAAGTATATTGTTTCTGCTGCAAACAAAAATCTATAAATCTGGAAGATATTGTCCAACAACCCAAGCTTTGCCTTCCTCCTAGTTCATTGGTTCTTTACCTTTGGTAGGGTCTTCCAATACATCCATTATGGCAGAGTCTGCCCCTTTGGTATAGACTATGATTTCTTTGGTGAGGGGATGCCTCACTACCACTGACATCCTCTTCCTGCTGGAATCAAATCCCAATGTGAACAAGAGGTCAAAGGTCAGAAGAGTCCCTTCCGGCAGCCTTACAGTCACTTGTTCAGGAGTTCTGGAGACTAATGTAAACTGGTAGGCATGGGCTGCGTGGACTAGAGCTGCTTCATCTGGGCTTTCTGCCTCATAACAAAATTCTCCCTGCAAAGGCCCATGGTCTCTGCCTGCAAAGCTCCTCTCATTTGGAGAAGGATCTGAAACCCCACAGAGGTCATTCTCACTGAAGGACTCCCTTCTAAGACTCTCATCATCTGTTAAGCTGGAACAGCTTTGAGTAGGACATTCATCTTTCGTTTTTGATTCAGCAGAGGCCGTGCTGCTCTCAGTGTTAATGCTCTCTCCTAAGTCTGAACTTGATTGAACCGATGTCTGGCTGAGGCTTGCCAACTTCAGCCTCTGGAACAGCTGGTGAATTTTCTCCAGGGAGAGTCCTGACTGCTTCATCAGTGATGGAGTCGTAACCTTAAGAGAAAAGAGGGAATTGGGATTAATTAAAGCAAACATTCTGCAGCATAGCGAATATGAAATTGGACCATTTCACATTAACAGAGGAAACATGAAAAAAGGTGCTGAGTAATGCCTTTACTCAAACCAAGGGGCTCCTTAATTGGACATCTCGATTGGGGGAATTTTTGTTGACTTCCTTATGTAGATAGAAATCAAAGCTCTACATCAACAGTTTAGGAACTGAGATACTTATATAGCACCCTTTTTAATGATTGAGACAGAATGGGTATGACTGAAATTTCTGGGTACTCCTTCAGTGTTTTAAGCTCTATAAATGGTTTAAGGGGAAAAGTGGGTGCCTTAAGCCTCAGAAAAATCCCCAACTCTCAAATGATTGTGCCTTTTTTCTGGTCTATGGTGGTTAAGTGACTAAAAGATGTTCTTACTCATCTGCCTGGTTTACAATCTAATTTTGCCTCTCAACTCACTTCCCCCCATATGCATGCACACACCAAGGGGGTTAAAAAGTCTTGGTCTTGCTTGCTATGATGTGGTAAGGACATTTACTGATTGTGCCCTCTGTGGATCTTAGTTTAGGCAAGAAATCACACTGGTTCCAGGGTGAAAAATGGCCAACTCATGTTCTATATGAAGATGATAGTTTTTTTATTGTATAGAAAGACAGATTATTTTTTTAATGACGCTCCTATTCACTGCAAATGGAAGAATTAATTAAAGAGAGAGATGTATGAGTCAGCCATTTTACTGCATGGCAGCTTCGCATTGCAATTTGTGTATTCCACCCAGTTTCTATATAGGTTTATGGAGAAGATTATTTAAACAAACTCTGCAAGAAAAAGTGTGTATATAAAATATGATTAAGTGGACCAAACAACATTCCCAGGCTTATCCTATCCATGGGTAGCATCTTGTTAATACTTTAGAGTACTATAGAGTATTCATGCTGTTCTAAAATTCCTTTTATTGGGTTACACTGAGCTGAACATTTTGGGTGCCAGGGACCAATTCCGTGGAGGGCGGTTTTTCTGCAGACTGGAGGGGGGACATGGTTTTGCGTGGTCTGGATCCACATGTGTGCAGATGGGGCTTCACTCGCCTGTGCAGTCTGGTTCCTGGCAGGTCACGGACCAGTGCTGGTCTGCACCTGGGGGTTGGGGACCTCTGATTTAGAATGTAGGGGATGGTGGAGGGAGAAAGCTAAGCATTATATTTCTTTGCTCAACCACAAGGATTTTTCTGAGTGCATAAAATAGTTCTGAAAAAGAAGAGAGTTTCAGGATGGGATGTATATAAAAATTGCAATAAGAAGGTGAAGGAACTTTTACAAAAATTTAAAGCGTTTCAAATGGAGGTGTCAAATGAGACTGCACAAAACCTTCAGCAGGTCCAACAGAAACTGAAAAGGGTGATACTGAACTACACATATTGACCCTTCTAAAATTTTGGCTTGATTATGGATTACAAATGCTTAACGTAGAATATACATGAAGCAAATACTTCTCAAAAGAGAAAAAAAATAATCTGAAATCAATTGAAAAACAATTTCCTACAAGTGACACATATTGGAAAAAAGACACAAATTATAAAACTTAGGTGAAGAGTTTATTTCAGCAAAAACTAAAAAAGAAATGGAGTTGTTTTGTATATAATTTTTTAATTTTTTTATATTTCATATTTTTTAGCCATCCATCTCCATCAGCAATGGGCTCTAAATCACTTGGACAAATCCTCCACTGAAACCAGAAATTGTATTGACTGATGACCATAGTAGATTTGTTGGGGTGAAAGTTATTTGAAAGGGACTAAGACTTTGACATGGGGAATTTGTGCCCCAAATGAGGATAAAGTAGTGTTCTATAAAGGACTTATGGAAAGTGTAATAAAAATCTATCTTTTAAAAAAACTTTTAATAAAATTATAAAAACTTGTAATATGACTCAAATTTTGACTGTAGCAATTAATAAATTAATATTTCTGTTATAACCAAGAAATATGATATATCCTAAGGTTATTATTCAGTTTAAATATATTGGTTTTCCTTTAAGAACAGAGCAACACTTTTTTACAGAAGAAAAGATCCTCATTAACATTGGCTATTTTTTCTCAGAGTAAGTTTGCTAGAGACTTTTAATTGGCATGTTTTAGCTGATAAGCACAGGTAGCTTAAATGTATTATTTAAAATAAATCTATTTCTCTGACTTTATTCTTCCTAATTTAGTAGAGAAAAAATACTTAGGCTTTTGGGGGGCTTTTTTTTGAAGAACCTTTTAGAGAATCTGTGAGTTCATGTTTAAACATGGGAATATAAACCATAAAAAAGTAATAAAAGAAATTGATGCTTTTTTAAAATGTGAATTTAATTAGTTTCACCTTTTTCTTCCTAAAGTGGATGTTTTTCTTCCTAGAGTGGATGTACTTTGGATTTGGTCCAGGTTATTTGATATTCTCATTTTTTCAAAGATGTAGAGAAAAAGTAAATAGAATTAGTTCATTCATTTCAAAATGTGTTTCTTTTGTTGTAGATTCCAACAATATGTTCCGTTGAATGTCA